ACTTATTGAAGAGTTCATTAATGTGGTTTTTAAAAAAAGAAGAAAATTCATTTTCTTTATTACCAAAATAATTTAATGATGTAATGGTGGATAAATAAGTATGAAAGATAAAGTAAATAAAAAAACTCAGACAAACTATAGCAAAAAAAGAATTTAGGGTGAGATTTAATTCGTTATCAAAATAGATATACATTTAAACTATTGTCGGACATACAAATAAACCATGGAAAATGCTTGTTAGCCAAGAACGATGAAAATGATAAGGCGATAAGACCGAAATCATTCATTCATCGCAAGAGAATTTTTATAGAGAACGAAAATTCTTCCTGTCTCTTTGCTATCATCATTTTGTACATCAATTGTCATTCCTATCAGTTCTCCATCCTCCTGTAAATCTATTTGAATTTGTAATGTGGTATGAAATTATTCTTATTCTAAGTGAGTTAATTAATTACATACATATCATTCAACATTTCTCATATACAAATTAATTAAAAAATCAACGAATAAACCATTACTTCTTAGTAATACGTAATCATTTCAATTATAAATTAAAATTTCACTAATTAATGCTGCATATTCTTGTTTGTTTTTTCATTAAAAATTTTTGATAAAAGATTACTTACCAATATATTTATAGTAATAATAGCATATGGCAAAATACATGCACATCAACCGGTCAGCGCAGCATCTTTTGGCCATAACTTTACATTACTTTTCCCAAGCAGTAATAAATGGATAGCTGAAAACCCAAAAATTAGCGTTATTTTGATGAATCCAAATGCTGGACGTGCGCCAGTTGAAATACAATATCCTAAAAGTATTGGAAGTTTTTCAGCAGATTTCGAAAAAATCATTAAGGTTGTTGAACCGATGAGCTATCAAGAAGTAAGTTCTTTGTTAAGTTTTTCATTCATTGTTTATTATCTTAAAGTTAACTTAAGCTCTCAATTCATTGTGTAAAAAATTTTCTTAAAGTTTCTTCAATTGTCACTATCTCAACACTGCAATTGAAGTGATAGAGCAATGTGATATGATATGCACATCCACATATTAAATTAATCCATTAATTTTCATTTTCTAGATAAATATGTGGAAAAAACATTTTAGATTTTTATATAAAATCTTCGCTAAATTAGTGCTGCTAACAATTATTTAAGATATAAAATGTCAATCAAAATGAAGATATTTTATAGATTGTCTTCAACGAATCACTGATAAATAATTGCGAAAATGCAACTAATAAAATTTTGGTGGAATGCGCAGATAGTAGAATACATATCAGTTCATCGTATCATCGAATTGCTGTTCTCTCACATTGGTATCACCCCGATGCGGGTGACAGTTTCCTCGGTCCGTGCGCTAATGTCACATTTTCTTCAACATCACAAAATATCATGGCGCATAAATTAATGTGATAAACTGAGTTTAACTGTTTCAATGCTTTTTTTTTGTTGAAAGTTGCAAACGAAAAATAATTTTTAAAAAACAATAACAGTAACCTGTACAAAATGAAATTACTTAAGAAAAATTAGTTGATTATGCTAATTACAGTATTGCCATCATCAATGGCTACAAATAAATATGCATTTTCTGCGCCAGCACCTGCTGAAGATGGTATTACAACAGTATATTTCTTACCGCAATCAAATAATGCGATAATAGATGTGGTTGGAGAAATTAATGAAGAGCCATTCAGTAATTCATTTTCTCCAAAAGTAAATTCTACTTGCTTGTCGATCACATTATATCATGATTAGATATATTATCATTGTATGGCTAAGAATTGGATAAAGAATGAAGTACTCGTAAGATTACTTAATTTATCGCAAAATATTTGATTTATCATTTGAATGTAAATAATAATTTTATTTTTCTTTTAGCTGGATAATGGAAATTTAATGACAATACAAACAACGGGTAATTTAGCATTGATAGCAAGCGCAAATGTCTCATTTACAGTTATTGTTGCAGTGGAGAAGTTGCCAGTTTCATCAAATGATAACAGAACTGATTTTGGCGTTTACATGCCAACACCTCTTCATCATTCAGGTGTCAAAAGTTTGAAGTGTCTTCTCTTATCGCAACAAATTTAAAATTAAATTAAGGAGTTTTATCTTACTTATTCTATATTTGAAATATTTTGCTAAAGATTATTATCAATTATTATATCATTAGAATTTTGTTCTCGAATTAATCTAAAGGAAGCAATTTTCGATTGTTACAATGTAAGCGATTATCATATTGCAATATTAAACAATGCGAAGAAATTCCTGGTAACGCGAAGTGATTCATATTGTGATACTGAATTTACTACAATCAATGATATGGCAAATTCGGTCTCTTATTCACTAACAGAACTTTATAACGAAATAGAATTTGTGGAATATAGTCAATATATAGGTTTTAATACCAGGTAAGAATAATAGATGAAGCATTTGTGTTTGCTATCAGTGTCAAATTACTCATTGTTTGTATTGAAATGATTAGTTGAAATTATAACAACAAAATGAGCAAATTAACCATCCTCAAATTACTATAAATTCAACTTTTACAATACTTCAAATGCTTTTGATTAAAGCTTCCGGTTTTTTCAACCTGCTTTTGATTTATTTTAACATGTTTAGTTCTGCAATATTACAAATATTACAATATGGCTATGATAATGAATTAATTAATGGATCATTTATTGATTTGGTTGCGTCATGGTCACAGTTTGTTACTGGCTTAACTACTTTCTTTGTACCCAGTGATGAAAATATCGTTACGGTAAATTTCCAATAGGATTTTAATTTTCCAAACATAATTTTCAGCAGGCAACCCCATCACTGAATTACAATATAAATTTTAGCTTTTAAAATTTGCTACTTCAAGAATGATGAGAGAGTGTTTGATATACTGAACAAAAAAATATAATTCAATAATGGAAAATAAACTTGAATTTGATAACATCAAAAAATTAAAAAAAAATCAAACTAATCATGCAACCAAATAAGAATAATAATTTTTTACCGGAGTTAAATTATTTTATTTTTATTTAAATTAACAATATTACTTGTTTTTAAGATTAAGAAAAGGAAAAAAAATAGTTTTTCTGTTTTTTTCAAAATCAATTTTAAATGAACAAAGAAAAATTGTGATTTAGATCATAGGTGATGCTGAAGCCACCACTAGTACCATTTCCGGTAATCGAATTCCAATTGAATTCGTTTGGAATTGGACTCCAATAACCTTTTATCAGGAAACATTCTACTACTGTACCATGTCTCTACCTATGGGATTCTATGTGATAACATCAAACGGTTCATATACCATATTTGTAGCTGGCCAGATACAGAATGCTGCATACGGATTCATCACCGCTTACAACGGTAATCAGTTATGATAATTACAATCATTTCAGTCTTATCAAAAAAAAATCAATGCTTCATTTGCTAAAATGATATTTGATTTTCCAAAGATCAAACGTCCACATCATATTGATAGGATTGTATTAACGCTAAAGTAGACATTGATTAATTTTTAGAGCAAATATCGAAAGATTTACCTGAAATGAAGAGAACCACCACACAACCAACAACAACCACCACACAACCAACAACAACCACGCAACCAACAACAACCACGCAACCAACAACAACCACCACACAACCAACAACAACCACTGAGATTTCATGTAAGAATGTTTAGAATTATTGATATGATTATTGATTTGCGTTATATACGTCATGTGTTTCACGTATTATCAAATATTCTTATCACAGCACTGAAAAAATCATCATTTAAGTCGATAGTTAATTAATTAAAATCATAAAATCCTGCTCATTTCAATACGAAAAATAATTGAGGTTATGATTTTTTTTCTTTCAGTTATATTTGAATTTAACATATCATTAATTTTTGCATCATTTATGCCAAATTTAATTTCATACATTATAGCACCATATACAACTACAATGGAAACTGCAACAGGTTAGTTGAAATTTATTTTTTATATTTATATATTAAAATAGAATAATATAATATGATTCACAAGCTGATATTTAATAAGCCATGAAAAATCATGATAATGTCTTACCTTTTATGAGAAATTTAATTTCATACATTACAGTGCCAATTACAAGTTCAACGGAAATTACGACAATACGTAAGTTAAATTAAAACTTATCGGTAATGTTTTTAATGATACACTTCCAATCTTCTTTCAGTTATATTTGAATTTAACATATCATTAATTTAGCTGTGATACCAACAACATCAAAAGGGTCAGCAGAAATACTGTACGGTGTTGGATTATTGCTATCAACAATTATCACTAATTTATCTCTCTCTTTACTTAATTTTTACCAGTGAAAATGTTTTTATTTGCTGAAATTTCAAAGTTATGTAAACTATGTTTTTCTCACTACATTACCAATATTTTTGATATGCCTTACATCTAAAATAGGAATTGAAAAAAGCGAAAAAATTGAAAATGATTTAAATCCAATACAGCTTAAGCTTAATACGACATAAATTAGCACAAAAGAAATTCGAAAATGTATAGATAATAAATTGTTAAATCAATTTAATCTCTCGAAAGATTTTTTTAAATGAAAAATTTGCAGCTCCTCGAAAAGAAATTTTTCATAGCAAAGAAAGAAAAAATGGATTAAAACATTACATTCACTGATTTACATTTATTGAAATATTTTTTGTTCAAATTCTGCTTAAATAACATTTATCAAAATGCAGCATGTGATAAATTTACAAGGAAATAACAGAAAATAATTAGAGTCTTTTGATTTCATTATCACTAAATTGACAAATGTAACTTTCCGAATGATTACAAACTGAAATTTGGCGGAACGGCTCCCACGGTTTTTTTAATATTTTTCAATTTATACTATAACCATACATAATCACTAATAAAGCATATCTTATTGATAACTTATTAATTTATCTTCTCTATCACTCTGTCAACCATCGTCATCAAATATTATTATGCTATGAAATTATTTCATTATTTCAAAAAAATGGATGAGTTAATCTTCATTATCCATCAATAAATCCATTAATTTTTTTCTTATATTGGCAATGAAATGTCACAAAATATTTTTATGTTTTTATTTCTTTTACAAATACAATTCGAAAAAGGGAGAAATTGAAATTATAAAACAAATATCAAAATGAAAAAAAAAATGTTATAATGCAAAAAAAAAGTTGGAAATGGAAACATTCTTTCTTTCCTTTTTTTTAAGCAGGAAAAAGAAAATTCATTACAACAGTGAATTATTTTAGAAGGAGAAATTATTATCATATTTGTTCTAATCAACATATCGGCAGTTATTATGCGTCCCATGCTCATTCCAACAAGTTTCATAACTGTCACTTATTGCCCATTGTCCATCCACAACGAACAGAAATTCATATCGTCCCGGTGGTATATCAACCCAAACACCGAATTTATCACCATCATTATCCAACTTTTGACACAGTAAAAAGCATTCCCAACTAACGAAACTTGCCTAAATATTTATTTAAATTTTATTATATATATATATGCATAAATATTAAAAGTGATACGAAAGTGAAATTTGCAATGAGATTGAAAAATGATTTTTACAATTTGATTGAAATTCAAACATACACTTAATAAAACAATTTTCGCTGTTGGCGCTCTAACTTCAAACCATATTCGCCGGTAATCTTTCAGATCATCCGGTGAACTCTCATTCCTGAAATTGAAGTTTATTAAGTAAACTGAAATAAAATGGAGAAAAAAAACAGGAAAAGAATAAATAGAAAAAAAAACGATAAAATGATAACTTGCCACATAGCCAGACGCCATTTATATCTATCACCAGTCGGTTGCTTCTTAATCAGGAATGCACCATCCAAGACGCTTTTTGTCGTATCACGAAAACGGCACATTTGATCCAATCTATAAATGAACAAGAATAAATTCGAAATGATTCTTATTTTAGGTATTCAGGTTATATGTAAGTTAGATATATTGAGAGTACACAAAATGGTAAGATGGAATGAAATTTAATCCTCTTCAATCATCACACTCATATAACCCATAATGAATATAAGAATAAACTGGAAATGATTGCAATTTTCGATATTCAAGTCATATACAATTGATATTAGACACATTGATATTAAAGGAAATTGATGATGATGCGGAATGGAATTTAATCCTTTCTCATATCATCATTATCCGCTGATTATCAAAACAAATCTAACTCGTGTATTTTTTGATGTGCTTGATCCAATAGCCATTCCTTATGTGCCATACCAGCTTCTAATTCACCAATTCTAAATTAAAAATCAATTAAATCCATTGTTATATTACAGATTCTATAATTCTCTGCAAATCTAATCAATTAGAATTTGTTAGAGATATTGAAACTCACATCAATTTAATCAGAAATATTTATTATTGATAAAAGATTAGTCAGATAACTTATTCATTTAACATTGATCATTAAAACATTGATCATTCCTTGAAGTTGCAAAAAAATGAAAAAAAACGAGAAATTTTGAATTAACTCTTACTTCCATTTCGCATCATTCCAATATTGTGTCACTTCACCTAATCGCCATTCTACCTTACTCTTTTCATCTCTTAACGTATTCTCTATTTGCTTCATTTCATTTTTCATTTCATCAAATTTGCACCAATCAATACCACCATTTTCAACATTCTAAAAATTTTTTGCCTAAATCTTGTGAAAAAAGTTTACAAAACATAGAACAGAGAGAATTTGAATTTGAGTAAAAGTGAATTTGATAAGCAACAAATTTGCTACACATTAACTATTATTGTCAATTAACAATTAAAGTTAATGAACATGAGCAGACGTATTATCTACCTTTTTCCGCTCCTCTCCTAATTCATTTTGCAGACGTGCATTTTCATCACGTAACCACGAACACTGACCATGTAAATCACGTAATTCACAATCCTGATTTGCAACACGTTCTTTAGCAAGCCATATTTCCTCACCTGTTTTACGTTGCTCATTTTCAAGCCATTTTATTTTTTCATGTGACTCTTGTAAATCATTTTCCACTCGTTTCAACTAAAATAATCACTACATAACGATTAGATAATTAATACAAGCATAATTAATACATTATTAGTTAAACGTTTTTAAAAAGCTGGAAAAAATTAAAAGGAATTATTTCTGCTGCAATTTTAAAATTTGTTTTGCCAAGTATAGTAGCATGTGTTGATCACTTTACTGTTTCCATATATTTTATTAATTCGTCATAACTCTATTTCTTTCAGTATGTGCAAATAGTATAATTGAATAAAATTTTATTTAACATGGCTTAATTATTTATTTTAAAATAGATTTAAATAATTGTATTTGTGAAACGCAGTTGAGCATTAATATTTGATTTTATGTCTTTGGCGAAATTTTTTTTGCCAATTTGAAGTGGAATTTACCTTCTCCTCCAATTCATACTTTTTACGATTTAAAGTAATCAACTCCGAGGATAATTCGTGATATCCTTCTGACATCATCGAGCTATCAATTATATGCGATTCTTAAAAGCAAAAAATTTAAGTTCATTTTAATTGATAAAAGTAGTTTCTAAAATAATAGCCTAAAAGCGCCAAAAGAGCCTGAAAATTTTGCTATGTTTACAATAACTTATCGAAATAGCAAAATAGACAATGTCCATTTTCATTAATATTTCTTACAGTAGCAATTTCAAATAAATATATTTTAAAATAATAATTTTTCTTTCTTTCTTTTCGTATCCAAATAGATATCTTTTTCTTTCATTTAACAAATTAAAAAATTAAACTATGAACGATTAACACACGGATAGCGATACTTTCCGGTGACACGTTACGCTGTTCATTTGTGAGCGTTTGCGTATGTTCCTTAAATGAGATCAATTTTTCATCATAGAATGATTTTCACGTATATCATTCATGCAATGCTTCAATTCCTTAGCAATGAATCAAAAAGAATGATAATTATGTAAATGAACTATTAATTACTACATAAAAACATTTCTATTTTTTCGATACGTCTAAGAAGGTATCCAATTTCTACAGCCTCGGTTTTATCTCCTTTTATAATTCTTTTCTTCGTTTTATTTCTCTCCTTTAATCTTAAATTGACAAGTTGTTCAATTATTAATATCATTTCCAGACGCTTTCTCAATTAAATACTTTCATCCATTTTACCTTTCTCAATTGTCGCAATTCCTCATCTTGAAATTGCACATATTCTTCCATATGTAAAAGTTTCTCCCGTAATTCTACTAATTCTGACGAGAAATGCTGAAATGTAATAAAAATGATAGGATGGTTGTGAGGAGAAATCTCAGGAAATGATAATATTAATACGTACATTGATAAGCTTTATGATATGGAAAAATCATTGCGGAAGCAATTTTAAAAATTAAATACCTCATCCGATATCATTTCTTTCCCATACTGGACATTAATAGCATCTGACTCCATTTTGGCTATTCTAAATTGCGCAATAAAAACATTGTTAATAATTGAAGATCTCAGATCTTCAAAAAGTTTGAAATTCATTTTCATAAAATTTAAATATAGTTGGCGTCGCTTTTCGAAAAAATCTTACGCATTTCATTAACTTAATTAAATAAATGAATTTTACTTGTTATGGAGTTGCGAAATTTTTCCATTTTTCTCATCTATCTCATTGGTCAATTTGTCCAACTCAATCATACTTAACTTCTCTCTCTGTCGGACATCGTTTAGTTCTCTTTTAAGATTATCTATTCTGAAATTTTACTGAAATTATAAAATATTTCAGGATGCTATCTTTGAGCAAATTGCATTAAAAAAATTTGATTTCTATAATAACTCATTTCATATGATTGTAAAATTTTGGTATGAAGTCGTTACCGTAACCGATATTATAAGCATTTCTCAAAGTTCATGAATCATTTATTTTAGCATAGATTCATGACCCTAAAATTCATATGCAAATAAAATATTTTACTTATTGTTAGCATCTAAAAGCCATTGCCGATACTCTCCGAGATTCCATTCCTTCTCACTCGTTAGTCTATTCAAATCATCAATTATTCGATTCTTTTCATTATTCACATCTCTTAGATCTTTGATTACATTATGCAGATTTCTGCAAATATTACCACTGCTAACATAAAATATTTCGATAAAGCTATGAATTTATTTTCAAAAAAATTAGAAGTCTAAATGACTTCGAACAAACAAACCAATTAATATCAAACTTTCCAAATACTTATTAAATGAATGGAATGGCAAAAAGTAATCGATACACGTCGCTTCTTTTTTTTCTCTTCAGAAACAAGCAAATAATTCTATCCATAAATCATTTGCACAAAAATTTCAATAAATTTAGAAAACCTACGTAATCTCTTGCACCTTTTCAGCAATCTCAGTTGTAAATTGTTGCAACAAATCTTCTTTCTCACATAATCGAACCATTAATTCGGTCGTATTTTGTCCCTAAAAATTGAAATGAAATACATAATGATTTCAATGCTGATAGAAAATACACATTAGCATAATTTCTCGGAAAATAACATAAATTCCATATCCAAAATAGCTATCAGCGATGAAGTTCGTTTACAATATATTATAGATATATTTAACCATAAATAAAATCAATACATATATATAGTTAAATACTGCATTATATAATTAAATACAATTAAGTATTATTAATGAAATGCATTTATAGATCTCCGTATGTAAAAGAAATAGGATATTTCCTAAAAACAAAACCTGAAACTTTTTTTGGAGTAAAAATTAATCTAAAAGAAGGTTTTTTTTTTGTATATTTAAAGAAATTCTTTAAGATGTTTGTATCAGTGAGACGAAATATTACAGCAGTATGGTTTATCATATTGCTAAATATTGAGGTTTTCTATAACTAATACTGTCAAATTAATTACCTCTATCCCAAAAGATGAAAGAGTACGGCATTGCTGTTTTAAATTGTCAATCTGTTGTTCTAAAGAATTACGTTCCATTACAATTGAGTTCTTTTCATTAATGATCGCATTAATTGTTTGTTCTTTCTGATCAAGCAATGCCGACATCTCTTCGTTCCTGAAGTATTTTGCTCTAAGGTTTACGCTTCTTTTGAATCTCTCGTAACGATTACTGTAAATGCCGATTACTGTGCTCGAACAGTCTATGAATGATGAAATGAAATAAAATAAAGAATACGGATGAAAGGATACAATTTTTCGAAAAAGAAACAAACAGTTGAGAAAATCAAAAAAAGAAACAGTGCAAATCGAAATAAAAGATGATAATGATATTGTCATGATTTCATGTGCAGTCGATAATGATTGGAACAATTATCGGTTGGTTATTTATTGTAGCAAGTCAGCATTTTATCCCATCGTTTATTTAATTTATCAATTTGCAAAAAAATAAAACAAACTTAACAAGTATTTTAATCTTCTACCAACACATACACATAATAAAACTTAACTTTTCGGCAAAATTAAATTGCTCCGGGAGTTTGCAAATTTCACAAGTAAAATGATCTATTTAACTGCTATCTGATATGTTTAATTCTTTAATTAGACTAGCATTATTCGGTAGATATACTTTTTGTTTACTTTAACTTCATAAAAATAACAGTCAAGTAATTCTGCTTGACCGGCAATTTAATTTGTTAATAATTGAAATCATTTAATTAATAGAGAATTGTTGTCTTATAATTTCCAACACTTTCGAAATAATCTTTTTTTCACTTAAAGCATTGCTATATCCAACAGAAAGGTATCCGAAGACTTTTTTAAAGCAATAAACAAACGAATGACAATAAGGATGCGGGAAGAATTTGCTATATTTTACAAACATACATTCATATTAATTCACTCTTCTAATTAATTAATTCATAAATTACAGAATGAAATATGAGGAGAAGCGAATGTGTGAAAACATTGAGGAATAAATGCAGGAGAAAGTAAAATCATTCAAGGATTATTAAAAAGCGGGAAAAAGCTGCACAAAATCCATTCATTCATTTCTTTTATTCATTCCCGGAAGAAATCAAAAATCAATCAGCCCACGTGTTTTTAAAAGTTCTTTTTTTTTCTTTCAACAATTTTCAATATGACATCATCCATACAAAATGACATCATTAAATGTTTTCATCAATCTTTTTATATTTTTTAATGATAATACAATCTGAGAAGATAAATTTCAGATTGCTCAATGAGAAGCTGATTATTAAAGGTTTGAAATAATGGATTACAGGGGTGGATGCACTTTTCTTCGGTGAAAAAATTTTGAATATCACTAAATGAATGATGTTGTCGTAGAGTGAAAAAGTGATAATCAATATGCTAAAAATAATTAAAATGCTTCTTATATCATTTGGATATAAGCTTATTCGAATTTTTTTCATTCAGAAACCGGAAAAGAAGTGAATGGAAAACTGGGATGGATGAAATCTGAGAAAAATGTCAAGTTTCATGTTACATCGCTTGTCTTGTTAATTTATACTAATGTCAATTTGAAATGATAAATTTATCGATTTAAATAGATTCATTCTTGAAATTTATTCTGCTATAGATATTTCATGCCATTATATCAACAAATGTTATTTCAGATTCAAATGAAAAAAGGGCATTAGCTCAGATTTGCATAATTTAAAGCATCCAGTTTCTAAAAAGTCTGGTTAAAATTAGTAAGTGCTAGGAGAATTTATTTGTTTTTGTTAAAATTAACTACAATCACATCATTCTCGAAATATTGATCATTTCTTTGAAATTATTTGGACGTCAAAAAATCAAAAATCATTACAAAAAACAAAGTGTAAATAAATTTTTTGAAAGTAAATAAATACTCAGACAGCCATTAATTATGAATTACTCATCCAATTTTCTCATGAAAAAAAATAAAATGCTTTCTATTTTGAAACTATTACTATCAAACAGCCTGATGAATCACTATTCCTTATTAAACTCGTGGCTTAATGAAAAAATAAAAGTATAATACTGAAACAGAAAAAAAACCTTTCCTCAATGATTCTGTAAAAAATGAAACGTAAAAATTGCGCAAATTACATTTACACATCTGAAAATGCTACAATTGAAACATTTTATGGAAGGAAAGAAAATTAATTATTTGTTGATGAAAACTGATAAAAAATTTTATCAAAATCAAGAATTTATTAATGCGTTGTCTTTGAAATGTACAGCTCCGGATTAGCGATAATTTACTAAATTTATAAAATTCCACTTACAGTATCCTATTTATGTTATGTTATATTTATGTTATAAAACTATGAAATGAAAAACTTTTCATTAACTATCCCGATGATTAAATAGTTAGATAGTACTATACATAACAAGATGATCATGAATGTCAAAATAAATGCAATTTCTTCGAGAACAACAAACTAATTTTTGATAGGATCAATCAGACCAAAATGAATGAAAAATTAGGAGTGATCACAGATGACGAAATGATTGCTCAATTTTCACTCGAAAGTTTTGTTCAAAAAAATTATATCAGTATTTTAGGTGTAAAATTGAACTTGAATCACATTTAATTTAGAGCAATAAGGAAAAAAAAAACAAACAAGAGGTAAAAAAAATTGACGCAACATTACAATTTATGAACATAAAATATACTTTTATACTACAAATTCATTAATAAAGTGCAAAAAGGATTAGTTTTTCTTCAAAGAAGTCTAATTTAAAATGTAAATGATAAATCAACTCTTTCTTCCATTGCTACAGATAGCTGCACACCTTATTTAAGTTATTTGTTATTTGTTAGATAAAGTTATGAAGAATAGCAGAAATGATGTTACCTAATGGTGACTTTTTCCAGGTTTCTTTCTAATTCAGATTTCAATGTCAACAATTTTTCAACTTCGGCGTTTTTATCATTCAATTGTCGCTGTATTTCATCAATTTCTTCATGAGAGTCGCTGCAAAAACAAATGAAAATTACACTTTTTAAATTGGAAAAGTAGCATTTTTTATGTTGCTGTTTAATGACGAATTTCCTAAAATCAGATTTTATTTCGTATCAATTCCTAAGACTTAACAAAATTATGATTATATCAAAAAATTTTTATGAATCCTCAAATATCAATTATCATTCAGTACTTTTTCAATTAAAATCAATCAATACAAAAAGTTTAAAACATGCATGAATTGTTCTGATCGCAATGATTTTATATGAGAAATATTCTCGGCTTCCTCTGTGGTTCTCGTGAAAATTGTTTTTCTGCAAAATGTACTTGAAATGAAAATGAAATGAAATCAAGGGATAATAAAATGGATCAAAAAAATTTAATCAAATAAATGACGCAAACAACAATTACAGTTTCTTATTGTTAATGAATTTTGAATATATTAAATGATACCTATTTAAGACATATGTTTAAAAATCCTCTTCTCACCCAAAAAAAAAAGTTTTGAGAAATAACGAGAGAAAAGTAATAATAAATCCTTTTCACTTCCGCTGTATATCCTCGAAAAAATATTTCACTAAGGAAAAAAACAATAAAAGTACATGGGATCTGTAGCACAATTTAATTCTTTTAATGAAGAAAAAATTTGAAATTTTTAAGACTGGAAACGTTTCGTGTTGAAATGTTTTACAATTACCTTTCAGTAACTCCCGATTGCTCCTCCAGCGTATTTTCCAGAATTTGTTTCTCTAATTCAACAATTCTGAAAACAATTCAACTTATTCTTTGAACTATTTAAATTATCAAATTTCTTGGCCAGATATTGTTTTGTTGGAATAAAAACATTTTAGGAACTAGATAATCTATCATTTTTGAATAAAGTATAATTCGTAAAAATTTACAATAAGGCAGTAACGTGAATTCATGCTTATCCCTTAGCTTATCAACATGAATTCGCTATCATCCCTATAGCTTATCAGAGATATTATTGCACGAAAAACTTGTACAAACATTTGCTATATGTATTCGTCAGTAACTGAAGTCATTGAGAGATTTTACTTTAGTATGCAAGACTGCACGTTTCTTTCATCGATATTACAATATTAAGTAATCGATCAGTACATGGGATGCTGTAGCATAATTTAATTCTTTTAATTAAGCGAACTTATTGTAAGCATCAGTGATCGATTCCTTTCGCTCTTTTAGCATTTGTTCAGCTTTGCTACGTTCCTCCATAAGATTATCGATAATTTTCTGATAATTCAATTCCTTACACAGATTTTCCAACAAACATTTTATCGAGCTGAAGATATGATAATAAAAACTAACTATAAATAATTTCATATTTCAGAATTCGCTTATAAAATTTTAAAAATCAAAATAATTTTGAAGTATTCATCAGCATTACAAGCCTCATATATTTTTTATAGTATAAGAAGATCTTCATTATGTTATTAATTTTAATATTCCATTAATTGTCAATGCGTTATACTTATTTACAGTAATAGCAATGGAACGATACCTGAGCTCTTCATCAACATTTTCAACACGATTCAATCCTGAAACTTCCCTGCATTCCCAACAGTTATGCTGAAATTAATGCTAAATTTTGCATCATAAAATTTAAGAAATTAACAGAGTGTTAATTTTTCAAACGAATGAATATATAAATCAGCAAAAATGACTCAAAAAGCCTTTTTACCTTTTTAATTTCTGTCGTTGTATCCATCGTCAAATTTTGAATTTCATCTTGCAGATGTTTTACAGCATCTTTTAATTGTGCATTTCTGGAAGAAATTTAGAAAAATACAATTTGCCTAGATTTTAACTTAATGGCATTGAAATTAATTGTTATTGCACTTTATTAATGTTGGAAAAGATCAAAATACACCTTTTGTCCAGCAATAATGCAACTGTGCAACAATTTTGCATTATTTTTTAATCATTTAAATGTCAGAGAGCAAAAAATGTTTAGTATTAAAAATTACTTTAACATCAGCGCAAATAATATGAAATAATAATATTAATAGTTACCTAACTTACCTAGCGAAAATCGAAAGATAATTCAACTGAAAATTTTTACTTATAAATTGCAATTATTAGCAACAAAAAAGGGTTCTAAATTAGGAGAAAACAAACTTTTGATTTAGTGTTTCATTTTCAACATGTAAAACCTCAAGTGCTTTTTCATTTGCATCTTTTATATGTGCTAATTCATCCTCTAAAACGGTTATCCTGAAAAAAAAAATCGGTACAGATTTTACCAGTTATGATGTCCCATTAAAATATTTCATTGAATTCAAAAAAAGAACTGATAGGTTAACAAAAAATCGATAAATTAAAAAAATTTTGAGATAATTGAAAAAATTGATATAACATAATAAATTAGCATATTTCGGCGGTCTTTTTTCTCTTTAATAAATTGTTAAAAATTATTTTTCAGCGAAATATCAAAGATGAAAGGAAGCATTTACCGATTATTAGCATTACGAAGCCATTCACGATGCTCTCCAAGTTCCCATTCCGTATCAGTTTTCTGCTTCAGCAAACTTCCATTTTCCGCTCTACGTTGATGCAATTCGTTGTTTAAATTTTCAATTACTTTCCACAATTCTCTTCAATAATATTGAGTGAATTAAAAATAGTTTCAATCAGACTTAATGCTTGATTTATTACAAATATTTCACTTATAAAGTAAGTGGTATAGCATTAAAATTAAAGCTAATTTCATATTTCCAAAATGATTTTATTGACGATGTACGACATTTTTGTAGAGCTTCTCAAATTTCGAGAGTTGTTAATCTGTATAGATTAACAGAACAAAACAGTTTACATGCAAAAGTTAAGCCAAATAAAATGGATCATCCATTTTATTTAGTTTAACTTTTGCATGTAAACTAAGGTCTTTCAACTTAATTCTAACTGATATTTCTTGCATTATCTAAACTGTCATTTCAACGTGTAATGTCAGAATTTCCTTCTAAATTTCAAAAATGTTATAATAAATCAAGCATTTAAAAAAATAAATATCATTTCTTAATGTTATTTAAGCGTAGAAAATTCGAAAAAAAAAATATTTCTTGATAATATTGTAATAATGACTTATTTGATAAATACTTTAAAATTGATAACAGAATTGGGATTTGATAAATACTTATAGCGGTAAAACATTTTGCAATCAAATATTATTAAATAAATTAAACTTTACTTGGAATTTATAAATTCTGAAGCTTCTATTTGTAATTTTGCCAAATGATCTTGAATAGTTGCAAGAAGAGAACTTAATTGCACATATTTTTTGCATAACTAAAATGCAATCAACTTTTGAAATATTTATTAATTTGGAATTACAAATTAATTTTCATCTAATTTCACTCGCAAGATCAAATTTAATTATTTGATTACATCTATTTTAGTTACGATTTTCATTAAATTTTGCTTAAAATTTTTTGTGTAAACTTCCCACAAATAAAAGCAAATAACAAACAATCAAAAAAGATAAGAAAATAACAAACCTGTTTGAATTCTTCTTCCAAATTTCCCGATTCTTCAGTCTGTCCCAAAATAAGCATTGTCATTTTTGCATCTTTCGATAGATCTTTCATTATGACTTCTGTTTTAGTCAGAGTTTCTTTCAATTTCTTATTCCTGGAAAACAAAAATAACTAAAATATTATCACAAAAATGACTGCTTTATTAGTTTAATAAATTAGCCGAAAATTTTGTAAAAATATAAGTGAGAAATGAGAAATAATGTAATTCAGTACGATACGATGATGAATACTTGAAGCACGTATTAATTATATGATCATTGGTTAAATGGATGGAGTTAAATAATAACATATCAGTGATATGTGTTATGATAAGAAGGAAGAGTTCCTGAATGATATGATAGTGATCTGATTGCAATTGAAACGTATACAACGTTAGTTGAAAAGGAGAAAAATTAGTAGAATGATTAAATGTCTTTATTAAATTGTAACCCTTCCAGTCAGTTATGGATTGTCTTCCAATTTGAAAATCAATTTTAAATCTCTTTTTTTTTTTTTTTTTAAATCTCTAACATTTAGCATATACCACAACCTTTACTAAATATTCATGTCAAAATGAATGCATCTTACCTTTTATGTCAACAAATTAGACTTCAGACGTTGTTACTTTGGTTCTAACTGTTTATATTGATTTCTTTTAAATAACGTTAACTTATAGCTTTGATATGTTTTAATTGTAAACTAATTATGTATGTAGTAGTCATTCGCAGTATATTTATAGAATAGCTTTTAATTATAAATGAATAATTTTGAAAATTTATTGAATGAACACTTAATTCATATTATGCAACTCTATGAAAGAATAAAAACCAACTTTTCCCTCAACTCGAATGTTTCATTCCTCAAATTATGAAGTATGTCGGCATGTTCTATTTTCACGCACGTCAATTCTTCTTCGAGCAAAGCGATTCTATAATCAAAGGCAAAAAAACGCATCATTTCTTTATCCAATTTAAAGAAAGAAATAAATTGAAAGAAGACGAAGGCAGAAAATTATAAATGTAAATCCATCCATTCCTAAATAACAGCATTAAATATTAGAAACAGAGGTTTTTATTTCAATCCATGAAAGAATCGAAAAACAGAATTCTTAATTACGATAATTTAGCGAAATAAAATACCAATCTACAGTCCCAACAACAATTTAATAGATATAAGTTAAATCAGATATGAATTAGATTTTCTGAACTGACAGAGAAGTAAAATTTCTCTTTCGTCGCTTACTGTTTAGTTAAATTTCATATATTAGCATCAATCCTTAATTGAAAATAATAAATTAATGAATAAAATAGGCATTACCGCTGATTAGCATCCTTTAAGCGTTGTCGTTCTTCACCGAGAAACCATTCAGCATCTGATCGTTTCTTACTGATATGTTCGAGATCAGCATCTTTTTGATCCAAAATTTCTCGTAATTTAGCTATTGACATTTCATGTTCACTAAAATTATTATATAAATTAAAAGCTGTGATTGAAATGAAAATTCAATTTTTACTATCTCCTATTTCTTCAAATTTAATTGGAATGTTTTTGAACTGATGATGGAATGAAATGTTGGAATAGGAACATAACATTCGTATTACTTGTAATTTTGGTCAAATAAAAAAGGTATTTGTTTATTTAAGTTGAATGCCTTAGCTCTTAAATGAAATAATAGATAAGTTGAGTTTTTAAGTCTTGCATGAAGAGGAATACCACAAGGTCAGTAAAAATCAATTTAGATCGTTCTCGACAGTTCCATTCGAAAAACTCACTGTGGTTTTCTGAACCAATCAAATGCAGCATTTCAAGTTATTTCAAAATGTATTTTAGAAATACAGCTATCAATGTAATGCAAATTTTAGAGGTTATAAAATTAATCAAATTGTATCAGTTGAAAAATTCCAAAGATTGCATAGCTTATAAACAAAGCTAACACTTTTAATTGATTATCATTATGAATTTCAACTGCTGCTTTCTCCATTTCGAGCAATTTCGTTTCCAATTCAAATATTTTTTCATATAGCTGCAAAACTGCTTAATTTATCATAATCCATAAAAATTAATAATATTTGTAATCTACAGAAATGAATGATAAGATACCTTGCTTTTATCAACTTCTATTGGTTTTGATCCAACCAATGTTATATCAACTTTCTTATGTTCTTCTACAATTTCTGGATGCTTTTCGATTATCAAATTTAAAGCTTCTTCTTTTTCAGTCAATTTTCCAGCTAATTCATTGGCTCTAAAATTTGCGCTACTATATTTGGAATGTTCATTAGCTAATTTTAACATGAAATGCATCCTAAGCTTTTTCCATTTTAAAACTACAAATTGCAGATCATATATAAAAAAAAAGGAATTCTGCTATACCGTTGTCACAATGAATCAAATCACCTTTCTTATCACCGTCATCATATCGCTCATAATTTTCGAATCAATTTACATTATTATCATACTGTTCATAATTCAATTTCACTTAATTTACATTATAATATATCGCTCATAACTTAATTTCAATTAATTTACTATCTGTTGGTCCAAACCATACCTTTTGTTAGCATCTTCAAGCCATTGACGATGCTCTCCGAGTTTCTGTTCTGTCTCATTTCGTTGTTTCATCATTTCGTCAATGTCATTGTTTTTTTTATTAATTTCGTTGTGTAAATTCTCAACTGCAGCATTCAAATTGCTGTAAAGCAAACTGATAGTGGAAATTGTTAAAATTGCTATGTTTAATTTCAAACTTTTAAATAACGAGCTAACTTTTCTTTCTAAATCATTTTGAATTATTCATCTTCTTCGCACGTCAAGGAATTTTCCGTTCATTTCAATCTTTTTCAATCTCTTCTTTTTTTTTATTTATTTGTAGGAGAGAAATTAAAATTAGACTAATTGATTTGTAATTCAAAAATCAAAAAGAAGTGATAGAAAGACTGCCAGTCTTACAAGGAAAGTTCTCATAGAGTTATTATAAGTGCATAATCGAAGACAATGACAATATATTATTGCTACTAAATTAATAATGTAAAAGGTTAAATCAAATGAAATTATTCTTAATTTAAATTTCTGAAATAAATTGATATAATTTTAAAAAAAAATTTCAAAGGTTATTGAGTGAAATGTAAAAAAAGAAAAAATAGCAATAAAAAGAAAAGAAATATTCAATACAAATTAAAAGACTCACTTAATGTCAGCATTTTGTGATATTTTAGCTAAATCAGATTTGAGACGATCATTTTCGCAACGCAATCCATCAATTTCGCCATTCTTCGCCATAACAATGCTATCTAACCAATTTGCTCTTCAATAAATCATTGAAATGATAAAACTGATAAGTAACAGATCGAAGCAAGTAACAAATTCAAATCTATCAAAACATATATACATTTAACCTTTCTCTAATTGCAGAAACAACCAATTGGTCTTTGGCCCGTTTACATCTCTTTCCAGAATCCTAAGAATCAAGAACACAGAATCAACATTACCTGTCGTTGCAATCTCGAAGCCATTGTCGATGCTCACCAAGACTCCATTCTCGATCATTCATTTGCTGCGTGAGATCGTCAATACGTGCATCTTTGTCTTTCAAAATTTCTCTCAGATTTTCATTTTCATTTTTCAGAGAGCTGAAGAATGATGAAGAGAGAAATGCTTTTTTAAATAAATGATTGAAAATACGTGAAGCAAACAAAATGTTACGTGAAGTGAAGATATGATCTAATATTATATTAACGTTACGATACTACGTCTTAAATATTTCATTTCAAATATTAATAACTGTCACGTAAGACAAATTAATTGCTAATGAGACGCTGAATTACTTCAACAGTTTATTTACCTATTCATATAGGATTAAAATCAGTTAATTTTAAAATTTTTATATTTTTAATTCCTAATTAATGAATTCTAATTTCACATTGAATAATAGCAATAATAATGAGGCAAAAAAAAATTCACAATAACTAACGTTAAATCATCCAATTTCGGGTTTTCAGCTAATGCTTGTTCAGCATTGTGAAGTTTAGCCATCAATTGTTCAATTGATATCTGCTCAATTAATAATGAATTAAAATTAAGAAAAAATTGCTTAGCAGAAGGATTCTAAGGATTCTGACACATTTTAGGCAATAATAGTTTAATAAAAACATCTGTGCCATTTTTGTAGGTAATTTCACCAGAAATTTTACAGTTAATTTCACCGTATCATAACTAAGGCATCTTCTTCTAGCAATACTTTTAAAAAAATCCCAAAAAATCTTTAAAAAATGGCATAACAATAATAATTCTGGCAAATTTATACTTAAATTAATAATTCTTACGTTTGTCTATCATTAAATTTTTGCAAGAAAAAAATTTGATTAATTAAAATTGAATTGATTCAATGACAGGACATACTTCCGTTTTTTCCAGTTGCGCTTCATTTTTTACAGCTTCAAGGGCTGCCTTAAGATCCAGAACGACCTTTTTCGACAATTCATCAATATCACTACGCAATTCTTTGATTATATTATCTTTTCCTTCTTCACATTTTTCAAGTTCAGCAATTCTAAAGTATATGAAAGCTATTCTTGTCAATTTAACGATTATATCATTAAATATCAGAATTAATCAAGAAAAAAACATTAATTAAGAAAGAAAAAGAAATGCTTTCACCTTTCATTAGCATTCTCAAGCCATTGACGATGCTCTCCAAGGCTCCATTCCAGATCATTTCGTTGCTTTTCCAAATCATTGATGTAAATATTTTTGATGTCTATTTCCCTCCGAATGTCCTCAGTTGTTGATACCAAAGTACTAAAAAATTTCTTATTACTAATAGATCTCTTTTTAATTAATA